TCTTTACGACAGCTCCATCTTAAAGCAAGTATAGGCAAGTTGCAGACCAAATGTTCACAAGAAAATGCGCAAGTGAAAGATTACAAAACCATGCAGTTGTGATTACTCGCTTGATAAAATTATGTGTCTATTCCTGGTGCCAAAACTTATAGAACGATCTAATAGAATTTATTCTGACAGCTGACGTTCCGGCGACTTCACCTTTTTCAGAGTCTAGAAAGATCAAGCAAAGGTCTCCACTTGGACAACTCAGTAGAAGACTAATAAAGAACGGTGATTAAACAGAAGTGATTGTTTTGCGCTTGATGCGATTGAGATCTAGATTTGGTGAATTTCCTCTTGAAGATAGGGAGGTGTTTGGCTGACTGTGTTGCGAGTAACCTAATTCGTCTCGGCTGTGTAAAAGGTTCGCCGAAATGTCAGCATTTGGAATAAATATTATTATGTAAATCTTCGTTCTTCTGGCTTATGGATTGAAAAACTGGGAATTACTTAAAAATAATAGTACTGAAAGATCGGGTGATTTATTTCAAAACATCAGAGTCCACGGTCACTTTGGGTCAAATCAATCACTTAGCTAAAAGGACTTGAGAGAAAGAAAGAGAGATAGAGAGAGAGGGAGAGAAAGAGGGAGAGAGAGAGGAAGAGGGAGAGAGAAACGGAGAGAGAACAGATAGAAACTAGTTGGTCGACAGCTGAATGCTTCACCTCATTGTGGAAAAGACCTCAAGATTCGAAGTAAAGCCTCCATTCACAGGGTGATATTTCTTCGTTCCACATTCTTTCCAAGAAAAGTATGTTGTTTATGGCCCTCCCGAAGATTATTAGAGTGCATCATTTCCAATGCACGCCTTTTTAGTGATTTTTTTCGATGGACGGAGCTTATTTATTGGAATATCAGCAATCATCCTTAAGCGTAAATTTCTGTGATTTCAACAATGTGGTTGTTTATTGAAAAGGCATCCTTGGTGCGCTGTAACAGCGAAAATAAAATTATATTTCACACTTAGAGTGCTTTGTGTGCCCAGCTAGAGTCCTTGGACAGCTTGTCATTAGACTAAACTGGTACTCATCTGACAACATGAATGTCGGCTATTCGGAAGATGAATATGGTTTTTAAGAAGGTTCTAAAAATGCGATACAGGAGCGAAAAGAAGATTAGGTTTCACATCCAAAGTTTTCAACACATACAAGTGACACATATGCACATTAAGTATATGACCGTGTAGAGAAAATTTCGCAGTATCAGAGTGATACCTAAAACCTAAAGGTTTTTCTCGAACGGTTAAAAAAGTCTATTTTAAATAAGAATTGCGCGCCGCCTGCAAAAATCGACCAATTGCCGCCCACAAAAGGTTAGGCTTAGGTAATTTGCCCATGAAGATAGTTACTGATTCATCAAAGTCATTCTAGAAAGGACGATGGTCCAAAGATTCCCACATTTCCCTTCCCATTGCAAAATTAGTGCCCACTCACCTCGACTTCATCATTGTCAAGCCTTCTCCTGTGATTGAAAAACTCTTCCTGCTTTTGTTTCCTTATTTGAACCTCAGAGATCCGCCGTCGCTTCCGCAACTCCTCTTTTGATAAACCTGAAATAAAGGACTTTCTATCCAGAAAAGTTGAGAGATGTATTCTGAACTCCACGGGCGGGAGTTGGACCCGCGTCTCACCCTTACTAAAGGACGCGTGCTAACCACTGCACTACCAAGATTCTTGTCAAATAAAGTGTATGAAAACGTATGACTTCTTCTCAAATTCTCGATGATATCGGTGGATAAAGGAGAAAGCTCTCAGCTTTGGTCAATCCCTAAGAGATACGCCATGCATACCGCCTTTACAATGACTCACGGGGGCCTCCGATGTATCAAATCGCTATTGCTATCCTCTCATACAAGTTAGGTATCAATTCACCAATCTAGTAAAGGTGGAAGGATAGGTGAGCCTTGAGCGTAGGATCGAAACCAACCATTGTTGACCATGTGTGCCTCACAGGGCACCTCTAACCACTGCACAACATGCGCTTTCGACTGCTATATAAATGACAAACGCCACTTTACAAGGAAAGATATGGTCAGCAAGAGTGCCACCCCAAAACAGCTGTTAACAAATGCCTACTTGAAACAAACAAACCCATTGATGACAATCAAACAAATAAACCCAATGAACCAAGAACCAATAAACCCAATGAATGAAATAAACCCAATGATGATCTTCGGAAGGATTAAGATCTGGGTTCGAATCCCGCCTGACACAAACGTTTTTGCACACCACTCTACATCATTGGGTTTATAGAAACATCATAACACCGCAATAGACGGTCAAATAAAACGATTTCGGACTGATTATTGGAACAAATAAATGAAATAAAATGAGAAGTCTCTTTGTTCGACGGCCTTAAGCCGTGGTACGATGTTATAATACACCTAGTGGTGAAGAGCGATGTGCAAAAACATTTGTGTCAATTGGGACTCGAACCCACATGCTTTTGCAAGTTTTTGCAGATAGCTCTTCACCACTGGGTATGAGATAAAACGGCCTAATCGGTTATGAGGGAACAAATGAAAAAACCCTCAATCGTTGGACAGGAAACTTTCCATGAGAGTGTTAGTAACCACTTAAAAGCTGAAACTCCAAGCTTAAGCCCCAGGTCGCCGGTCTTCAAAAAGACCTATCTTGACGCTGTTGAAAAATAAAAAAGGATGAAGCTCTCGGCGTTGATCAATCCCTGAAGGATGCGCCATGCATTCGGCACATCTGGCCTTTACAATGACTCGCGGAGGCCACGTGCTGAACCGAGTCAGTGCTGCTTACCCTCCCAGACAAGTCTGAGACCTGTCCGGTACCCATTTACCGACCCCGGAAGGATGGACGGTTTGGTGAGCCATGAGCGCGAGATCGGACCATTGACCTCGTGTGCGACGCAGGGCACCTCCAACCACTGCGCCACATGCGCTCTTTGACGCTGTTACAGCGTTCTTGCGTTGCAGAAGCGCATATTACTCGCAGGACAGAGCTCTCTATTTGGACTATTAGTGATCATTCGATAGCGTAATCGCTTCTCATTCTAATGCTGTGCCTATAACACGAAAAGATCGTTTCTTTGCAACGCAGCAGGTAAAATAAGTTAAATTCGCATGCACGACCAGAGGGGTCTTGGCCGATTCACGTGCCGCTGACGCGATGCCGTAAGAGCGGCCCACGACTGATCGATCATCGCCTCAGAGCACATGAATTGCCCTTGCCAGGGCACGTGAATTGGTCAAAGACTCCTTTAGACGCGCATGCGAATTCAACTTATTTAACCCTGCTGCGTTGAAGATGAACGGTCTTTCCAGGACATAAGCACAGCTCTGGAATCAGGAACGATTACGCTATCGAACGATTACTAATACTCCAAAGAAAGAGCTCTGACCGGCGAGAATTATGCGCGTGCAATACATAATTTTATTTTGGAATTTACACCGTTGTAAAGGGGTCTTTTCGAAAACCAGCAACGCATGGCTCTAGTCAGAGATTGAAGCTTTCGAACAGCAACAAAATCTCTTGTGAAGAGTTTCTATCCAACAAATGAGATCGGTTTTCATTTGTCGCCCCGTAATCGAGCCAAAAAGCAAGTAAATAAACAGATGTATAAATGAGAGGAAATGAGCGAAGTAAATAGGAAAGTCTATTCCCAGAGGGGACCTCTGAAGCCCACAAAAGTGTCCACACTACCTCTGAGCTTATAGAGACTTTCATGATGGCCAGCGTCTGAATTGCTGCTGCTCATCGCTCCCGCCTGGCACCCGTCTCGAGCCGTAGCGCTGTTTTCCGGAGTGTCCTCTGAAAAAATCACCCTTGCCACTTGGGAATGTGATCTACAGACGCGGGAAAAATCTTTCAACGACGAGATTTAAAAAAAACTCAAAGACACACCTGTAACCTCCATCGACGGATCGACCAACAATGAGTCGCAAGTAGAAGCTCGCTCGCCGAGGAGTTGTGGTTATCGCGCTCTAATCGCTATGTGTGCACATCGTGCTCTAATTAATAGGCGGGAAACTTTAACTTTCGACTTGTTCTCGCATTTTCTAATTGATTTGTCACTTATATCTCCCTGGAGAGTTGTTGATTTCGTTGATCTATTGATTTATTGATTGCCTAGGCCGTCATCACAATTAGCTGTGCGGTTCCCAGTGCTTCTTGCAATCAATTCGTTCCTCTGAATTTGAATGTTTCCCGTATTCTTTTGGCTGTTTGGGACTCCGTAGGTAGCTAAGCTCAGGCGTTCTCTAAGGTGTTCGTTGACTGATGGAGGGGATCGAACCAGCGACTCGCTTACACCTCAGTCTCACTGCATCACTAACCACTGCTCCAGCCTCCTCCTAGAATTGTAATACCACGATTGATGGTAGACAGCAGCATAAAAAAATATTTGAACTTAGAAGTATCTGAAAAAATATATCTAACTTTTCGAGAACCGACTTTCCTTCATCTCCACCCTAATCGCAATACTTTTCGATCTATCCAATGGTTTTGAGCGATGCGCTAACCTTCTTGCGCCAGTCGGGACTCGAACCCGCGATTCTCCATCCCCGTATGCGCGTGCTTAACCTTTGCGGGACCATGGATCCAACCCTCTGCGTGTCCAACCCCCCAGCGTATTACACCAGCCTGTCCTAACCCACTCCACTACCCACGCCTGTTTCGCCACCATTCTTTTACGCTACAACGCATCAGTATGTCTTTTTTTACTATCAAGCCAATAGAATAAAGTTGATGAAGATAGATTGATTTATCCCCGAAAGTATCGATTGGTATACAAAACACTCGATCAGCCGAGAGTTGAACCCGCGTTTCACCCACAGCGATGGCGCTTGTTACCACTAGGGATGCCAACTCTGCTCTCCCCATATATTTGGCCGACATGACGGCAGGCTTACCCGATCAAACGCCGTTGAAGGTTAGGTGCTAACAGTTACGACAGCATATATCGGAGAGAGTGGTAGAATAGGGTGGCGTAGGTGGTGCAGTGGGTAAAAGCATGCCCCCTCCCCGTGCCTGGGTGAAGTGCGGGTTCAGCTCCCGCCCAATGCCGAATGTTTTGCATACCACACAGGGCTCTTAGATGTGTATTCGTAACATCATCACCTGTATCACCTGTCGTCCTGTTGATCGTCGAGTGACTCGAGCAGGTACCAGCAACTCTTCCATTTTTCCCTATCGCGCTGCAAGAGTAGCCCAGTAGGTCCTCCTTGCTCTAGGAATTCGCTGAGCATCATATCTTTCTTCCATCGCTTTCGTGAAGAAATCGGACCAACGGGTCAGTGGTCTTCCTTTATAGCGCTTGACGTCCCGAGGAATCCAGTCGGTAACGGCTCTCGTCCATCGGTTGTCGTTGAAGCGCATCACGTGTCCGGCCCACCTTATTTTCGATATCCTGGCGTGAAGAACGGCGTCTCTGATTTTCGATCGTTGACGTAGGTCGGAAGTTCGGATCCTTTGTCTCATTTGCGAAATACGAGATACTCCTAGCATCGACCTTTCGACTGCGCGTTCGATAACGGCAAGTGATCTTTCATCCTGCTTACGTAGCGACCAGGTTTCTGCTGCATACGTTAGGGCAGGGATAATTGTCGAGTCGAAAAGGTGGGCACGGAGTCGGATGTTCTTTGTCCGGAGTCGGAGGACAAAGAACATCCGTAACATCATACCTCTGCTAAAAATTAGTAAGAATATAGATTCCAGTCAAATCCAAAGAACAGACTTTCTATGAACCGCGGCATCGATAATCTACCCTTGCAGGACCATGCTCTCAACCGTCTGCGTGTCTAAACCCCCAGCGTGTTGCGACTAATAACTGGGCGTGCGACGTGTAACAGTGGCGTCTAACCCTAACGTGCCATTGTTAGAGACGGCACGTTGGAGGGTTAGACGCAGAGGGTTGGGTCAATGGTTCCGAAAGGGGTACTATGTGTGGATCTCTGGATCAGACGATGCAGTGACGCATAGCTGAGTGGAATGGTGAATTTCGACGCTAACAATTTACTTAGATCTATCCGATTCTCAACGTGGCGAAGACGTCTAGTCGTTAAATCATTGAATTGAACTGAAATCTCAAAGACTTATCTTGTCTATTCGATGTGAGGTCGGTAATAGTTGTTGTAGTAGCTGTCGTAGAACCAGTAGTCCGCATGGCCGACGTTCGGCGACTCCGCCCTCTCCAGTGCGTGGGCGTAGTTTGTATTTGATTATTTAAAATAACTCGATGGATTGTCGATGCCCTTATATATCGCCTAGATCAGGTCAAAGGACCAAACGTAGGAAGGGCGCCATGTTTTGCGTGATAGTGATGATTTCGTCGCTCACGGTTTATTTCTGGATTTTCGGCGTTCATCTCCCAGAATTCTTCAAGAGATCAGAAGCATAGGAAACTCTTAGAAGCAATCTGAATAGACACTGAAAATGCAGAAATGAACCGCGAGGACGAATGCGTCGCTACCACGTGACACATGGCGCCCTTCCTTTGTTTGATCTTTCGACCTAGCCTGGGGCAATATAAGGGGCATCGACAATTCATCGAGTCATTTTAAATATTAAGCACATCCTACGCCCACTCACTGACGAAGGCGGAGTGGCCGAAACGTTGATCACCAGACTACTAGTTCTGCGACAGCTCTCACAACAACTACTACCACCTCGAATCGACTGGATAAGATAAGTTTTCAAGATTTCGTTTAGATTCATTGACCTAACGACTCGACATCTTCGTCTTGTTCGGTACAGGATCGATCTGAGTCGATGTTACGTCGAATTCATATTCCACTCAACCATTCGCTACTGTATCGCGTGAACTGGAACGCTTGCGCTCATGCGCTTGGCTATTCAGAGCTTAAATGTGTTTTTCTCTTCGTAGTTGTGCACTTTTTCCTTCTTTTCTCTCCCTTCTCTTCTCTTTTCTTTTTCCTCTTTACCTTCTTAGGATTCCTATGGCCCTGTGGCTACGTCCATCCGTAGATTTCGCTGGTTTACCTCAAGTGGTACTTCCTTTGTCAGCCTCACGGCTAATGCTTTCCTCAAGTGAATCGATGTTCTAGGCATAAATGATGTTTTCGGCGGTAGTTCTATCCTGTACGGAAAAGTAATGCTAAGGGGTAGTTTTCGGTTATAAGAGGACAAATGAAAAACCGATCTCGTTCGCTGAGGAGAAACTTTTCACAGGAGTGTAGCAATCATTCAAAAGTTGAGATCTCTGGCTACAGCTCCACGTCGTCGGATCTCGAAAAAGCCTCTTTTTGACGTTGTTATAGAAGAAAATTCCCTAAGGAAAGAGCGCTGTCCGGCGAGAAATACGCGCGTCTGAGGCCAGTTTATTTTGGATTTACAGCGCTATAAAGGGCGTTTCGAAAAACCGTCCACGTGGAGCTGTAGCAGGAAATCCCCGTTATCGAATGGTCACTGATACTCCTGTGGAAATTCGTTCTCCAGCGAACGAGACTGGTTCTTCATTTGTTTTCTGATAATAGCGAAGTGCCCTATACAGTCCCAATCTGTTTTTCACTAAGCTTCACACCAACTGATCCAAAGCGTTTCAGATTCGTATGGATCTCGTCGAGGCTTCAAATCCAGTAAGAAGCCGAAAACACCGCTATATAGTGAATCACTTTGAGCAGTATAGTTCGGCCGGATGGACAGAGTATTAGCCGGAGAGAGCGTAAGTGCGGTACGTTAACAGTATTATGTTATTAGGTCTTCCCATAAGTTTTAGTTTCGCAGTGAGCAGTGAATGCCAAATTTATTGGCCAGAAGTATCTGAGATTACATAGTTTTGCCGTCATTCAAAAGCATAATTTCTTGCGAATATTTTGCTATACAACGTGCCTATGCTTGCTTCAACCGGTTGACTTCCGCGGACCCACGCTGAGCGTGTCTGCTCCACCTCCTCTGCCCCGATTGATCGCCGACTGGAGTGCTAATTTCCGTTGCAAGACCTGTAGCTAAGTTTTGGACTAATTCGTGTGGTCTTGCACCGAAAAGTAGTGCTATAGTCGACGACTAATCGGGCAGAGGAAGTGGAGTCGTTCCCATGCTGGCGGACACGCCGAGCGTGTGTCCACGGAAGTCGACTAGTTAGCATGGAGCTGTCGCGGCGAATAAATTTGCATTACTACTCATGCACGATTGGCGCGTCGTGGAAAATGTTATTGAAGCAGCACGAAAGGTTAGTGGAGCTTCTTGTGGACGGCCCGAGCGCGACTGATCCTCCAGACTATTCTGTCCCAGCTTCGAACTTCACGGGCCACTTCCTAGCCGTCCACTCTGCAACCGTTCATCGCCCCAAGCTCCATTAGTCCTGCTCGCCGCTCCACTAACATTTCCCCTACGTGCCATTCGTGGCTGAGTCTCAGGCAGACAGCCCCATTTGAGGCAGATATAGGCAAGTTGTTCACTAAAATGTTTTCAAGAAAATGGGCAGTTAAGCGTTACCAAAATTATGCAACTTTAACTACTTTTGTTTAATAAACTTGGTGTTTATTACCTTAGTACCACAACCTATGAAACGTACCTGATATTTTTTCTACAAGATTTTTTGTTTTACCGCTTATAGCTGTGTTGTAAAGTTATAACTATATATCCAAAAATACTGATTGATGTACAAAGGTTTGAACCTCCTTGGACGGGAGTTGGACTCGCAACTCACTCTTCCCGGAGGCGCGTTGCGAACCATTCCACTACTTGGGGTTCTGTTGTGGTGTCATCTTTTTGTGCCCCGAAGAGGTGAGACAGTGCTTCATCTCCCATCCGGAGTTCAAAACACTGTTCATCGCTCAGCATTTTGGATATCACATCATTATTTATTTCCTTACTGTTATAAAAAACACTACTCGATGGTCCAAACCTAGGCTTTTTGTTTACTCTTCTGAAAAAGATGGTAGTCGCGGTTTCATGCAAAGAACTATTCGTTGCTTGATCTGCAAGAATGTTTTCATTCTGGCATATTCTAGCTATATTTCTAACAATGTCGAGTAATATACAAACTTTGAACCTGAGACAGGAGTTGAACCCGCAACTCATCCATTTCGGAGGTGCGTGCGAACACTTCGTCGGTGCTGGAGCTGATGATTTTCTATCACTCTTTTCGCGCACCGGAAGGGGTGAGACGTGGTTTCTTCCCTCTCCCGATGTTCAAATCATCGTTTATCGCTCAATATTCCTGGACATCATATTATTTTTTACTTGTTAACCATTACAAAGTTACCTAATCAACGCTTTTTCGTAGATTGGTGTTGTTTATTAATCTGCAAGAAGTTGGTAGTCGTGGTTTCACATGATGAGGCATGCTTTTACGAACTAACAGGAGCATTGTTATGATGTTCTAACTGAGATAGCTAGGAATATTGAGTGATAACAATATTTTGGTCCTTGGGCGGGAGTTGAACCCACGACTCGCTTTGGGCGCATAGTGCGTTCTAACCACTGCGCTGGTGGAGATCCTGTTTTACCATCGTTTTTTTGCGCCACCAGAACGAAAAAGTGAGACACGGCTCCAACTCCCGCCAGGGATTCAAAGCTTTGTTTAACGCTCAACATTCTTGGGTATTATTGTATGTATATTGTATTAATGTCCACTTGTCCACCGTTTTACTTATTCGGTGGTTCTGCTTCAAACTATTTTTAATGATGTGATCGACGAGAATTCTTTTTATTCAGTACCTTTCAGCGGTGATATGATTTTACAATTATAATCAATGATGTTGAGGGATTTGAGGGATGTGCAAAACTTTGAAGTCAAGCAGGACTCGAATCCGCATTTCACCTTTTCTATGGACGCGTGCTTAACCCGTACCGGACCATGGGCCCAACCCTCTGCATATCTGACCCCCCCCCCCCCCCCCCACTCCTCCCCCAGCGTGTTGTGTCGAACGATGACGTGTAACCTCCTCGTGCCATCGTCAGACGCAGCACGCTGGAGTTAGTTGCCATTGTTTGACGCAACACCGTGGGGAGGGTTAGGCACGCAGAGGGTTGGGTTTATGGTCTCGTAAGGGTTAAAGAGTTGCACTTTGGACGCCTGTTTTGCCATCGTTCAACATCAT